GGCTTCAACAGCCTCCAGGAGAGCCTGATGGCTGGAGTGCCCCTGGTAGCCATCCCACAGGCAGTCGACCAGCCGGCCAACGCCTGCAAGGTGGAGCAGAGAGGCTGGGGACAAGCCTTCTTCAAGCCCATGGAGACAGTCAGCAGCACTGCTTTGGCGGAGTCTTTGCGCCAGGTGTGCGATGAGAATAGCATGTACCGACAGCAAGTGCAGTGTGCCCGCTCGGAGCTCGCGGGAGGCGCGCCGCGGCTGGCCGAAAGGCTGCTTTCGATGTCGTATCAGAGCAGTGCGGCCTTGGGCGGTTGCTAAAGAGCTTGCAACTCCGCGGCGGCAAGCAGGCTTTTCTAGCATGGTACTGATAATTCATTCTTTGCATGCAGTAAGTGCAAAGACCGACAGCGGGTTGCACAGCTTGGCTCCAGGAGCTCAGCCATGATTGGCAAGGAGCGGTCTGAACCTGTGGGTTCCCCTGAAGGAAACCCGAAACTCTGAACCGTCTCGCTCGGACTCCTGTGAGCTGCAATGTACAGGGTGGGCCGATGTGCCACACCTGGCTTCTCCTCACGGCTGGACTTGTAAAGAAGAGCAGGGAGGTTCATAAGATCGCCAGGGGTCTGACTGTAGGATCAATGTTGCCTGAGGCCTAAAAAGCCCTAAGCCGATCTCGGTCCGAACCTCCTTTATTTCGGGGCGTTGTACAGCATTGCTTCGCAGCCGAGCCGAGCCACGCTCCACCTGACACGAGCAGGGGGGGGAAAAAGCAAGCTACGTCACTGGCCGCTCACATCCTCCGCAAGCCCAGCGATCTGCAGGAGTGTGTCATTCCGAGCTGTGGGAGACCTTGCTTGGGAGGACGGAGGCCACGAGGCCCCTCCGGATGTCCGCGCCGCCGTGCAGCGAGTGCCCGGGACGTATATTGGCCTTGCTGACGAAAGTAATTGAGCTTGCAGCTAATGGGCAGTGCTAGGGCTAAGGGGGAGGGCAAGCTACAACTTGGGCGTCTTTACGGTTAGGCTGCTTGTCAGAAACGCCTGATTTGAGAATCACCAAACAGTTGCGTCAGAGGTGTGAGGCTAATGTGCTATGAAAGCTTGCTTCCTCACGGTGTTTTGAACTGAAAGAAACTATGATGACCATGGATGTTAAGTTAAGCCTGTTTTTCAATGAGCAAACCAACAGCCCTCGCCCACCAAAGCTGCACCATTTACCCTCAAAAACTCAACAGATTGTGCCACCATCTTCACCAACCCTTTAAGAACTGCACCCCAGCAGCACTGTTCCACAAAACGTTCCATGAAATGCTACCACCCACCCCAAAGTCAGAAGTCAATCTTAGGAGAACTGTTTATTCCCAATACCCGTATCTACGTAGGTGCCATAGCACAAAATAGTCGAGGGGTTCCTTATAAAATTTGGTTCAGGGTTTAGGGTTAAGGGTTGTATCAAAGCTTACGTAATCTTCCCGGATTCTCGAAGAATGTTGTAACTACACTGTAATTTTTTTTCCGCGGCTTATGGAAGACAACAGCAATATCATAATATTGTACAGGAAGAATTGAGTTGTTTGTTCTGGCTTGTCATCAAGAGGTATCTCAATAATTGCTCTATCCTTGTGCTTTCCTATCATACAATAGTTCTCCAGAAACAGATCATTCACCAACAACTGAGGAACGTGATCAACAACTTCTTGAATCTTGTTTTTCTTGTATTCTTTTCTCTTCTCTCTGCGTTTAATGCAATTATGCCAAGGTTGCCCCAATCTATTGAACCTGACCTCTTTGGCAACTTTTTTTTTAAACTGTGGCATCTTGTGCATTTGATTTTCTCTATCTTGTTAATATTGATAAAGCTATTCCTTTAAGCTGCTGGTATCTAAGCATTCAAAACAAGTCATAGCGTATTTCAAAATAAATACAAGACTGTTTACTTGTGCAATTGCAACGCTTGAAACAATCAACGTTTTCGACTTGCTTACAACGATAACACTCCATAGTAACAACATCAACTGTTTCAGAACATGAGTCAGAAGCAATTGCTTCATATCTTGTCTACTCGTACTGGCATCATTATTATATACACGTTGTCATATGGTTAAGTACGAAAACGTGCATATATACAACCTTAAGCTTCAAGGAAACAGCGGAATTGCAACCATACTGCACCAGGCATGGCAGCCGCCCTATTTCATTCGCGGTGCCACCAACCTTCGTGAAGCGAACGAGTCTGCCGAGTCGCTCGAGCCGCAAGTGTGACATCTGAGCCCGCGACCATTGAAATCGACAACAGCCCCCAGCCTGAGACCAGATCGGTCGCTGCCTCAAACCCAGAAATCTTTGCTGTGTCTGCTGTTCTTGTTGTTTCCAGCGCAGGTTCTGGTTCCATCGGCGCAATGGGTCTGTGCTTGCCCATGCGGACCTCACTTTGCGAAAGTTTGCAGATTTTCATCCTTATAGCTTCTCTTGTCAAATGCCCGAGATCATCGGATGGTATCAATCAGTGGTCAGCTCGGTGACTGCATAGGTATTGTGCATGGGTGACCTTGTGTCTGTGCTGGGAAAAAAGGTTGCAGTCGGGTTCTGAGCGCTCATACGGCGATGGTGACCAGGACACTTACTGCATTCCTGCTGTATCTTTGCAGCTGACTGGACGCAAGCTCCTCAGCAAGAGTGGTCTAGCAGCCTAGATGAGCCTAGCATCAGGCAGATAGATACAAATTGCGATTTCGGAGACTCGTAGCTGTGCATGTCTGTAGCGTAGGTTCTCGCCCCAACTTCGAGAGCGTGAGAGAGAGACTTCGGAGACTGGGAAAGAGCCTGAAGTTTGATCCATGTTGTCGGTGCTGTTCGTTTTGCCGTGCAGCGAAGTATCCGAGGCACTGGCGGCTGATGCCCCACCCACACGTCAACATGTCTCGATGGGCTCCCAACTCTCATGATGGAGGGAGCCTTGGTCGACGATTTCCGCTGGAGAGAACTGACGAATGTTGCAGAGCTGTTCAGATGTTGTAGGGTCGTATAGGGTTCTGAGACAAGAGCACGAAATGCCGGGCTGTTCTGGCGGGTATGAGGCTTTCGCGGTTTGCCAGGATTTCATGTTACTTTGCTCTGTGGCCCAGGATCTACAGAACAGATTTGTGGCAGCCGGCGTGGGAAGCTACTGTGGAGCAGGGCGAGGCGCCTGGCGAATGTAATGGGTTGAGGCGAAGATTTAGGATATCAATCGGTTCAGTGTAGCGTGTCAGGGCATAAGGTTTAGGATTCTCCACCAGTCCCCTGGTTCAAAAATGCAGCTAGCTATCTGTAGTTCAGTATCAACGATAATTCCAATCGTAATTATACTTCTAGTTGCAACATGGCAGTAAGGATAAGAATTGTAGCAATAGTCACTATGTCACCTTCTAATATGTTAAAACTGTAATAATACTATCATAATACTGTAAGAATAATACTAACAGTAAAGATAAGATAATGATATGGACATTAGTAATCACAGTTAATAGTAAATGTGGGCATCAGTGTGTGCTGTTCGGGCTGGGTTTTGAAGGTTCTATGCTCGTGCGCTGGCCTGCCGGGTGCGGGGGTCGGAGAGGGTTGGAACAAACAACAGGAACCATGAGTAAGATGGACGACATGTTCTGCCATGCAGGAGGCAAACAATGAGTAACATGGACGGCAAAGAATCGCAGGAATACTGCTTTAAAATGTTTGTCAAAAAGAGGGGTACTAGCTGAAGAAGCCACTTCACAGAACAAGAAGGTAGTGATGCTTATGCTAGATAAGGGCAGGAATTAACTAAAGTATATACAAGCAAAGACAGATAGTTATCGGCTGTATGAACACTATCCATCTTGTCCAAGTTGCTGTTCCTGGGCTACCAGGCCATTGTTTTCTTTCCGAACATCTTCCATGAGACGCAAGTGCCGGAGGAGGGAAACCCCGAGTGCACAGTGGCAGGCTGCTTACAAGAGACGTTCGGCGCCATGCTCCGCAGGAACTGACTGGGGTTTTTCCGTGCTTAGGTCCCCGGCAGGTACCTACTGCAGTGACTGTAGTGGCCTGTGACAGATGTGGAAGAACCTCGACAGGGAACCATGCACGGCAGTATTGCACTTCCCAAGTTCCCCTGCCGCGACCCAAACGAGGCCACGACCTTCCAGTTTCAGCTTCCGGTACCGGCCCGCATCCAGGCGGCACGGAGAGCATTAGCTAGATCAAGGAAGTTGTGGGAACCTCTCGAAAGCGCGAGGCTATGACAGGGAAAGACGGTAATGTACCGGACACATTCGGAGATTATCCCAACCAGGCGTCCTTATTTCTGTACTCTCGCAGGATTCGTTGTATCAGCGATGGGTCCATGTTAGAATCACTGAAGCGCCGGGAAGCTTTGCAGTCAAGTTCCCAGTGAACCATGCCCCCGGTCCATGCCGAACCCAAGTACTGTAGCAGCACGTACATATGTTTGGAGTCGTCTCTAATCCATCTTCGTGTTTCTTGCCCTCCAGTCCTCCCCGTCCTGGTGTCCTACTCCCAGAGCTCCTGTCTGCGACCTTCCCAAGCAGACTTCGGAGTAGAATGGCTGACGATTCTGCTCGCAGACGTGATGAGGCAGAGGCTCTGTCTGCTATGTTTGGGGACGACTTCTTCGAAACAGATGTTTGCGAGTGGATCCTGCGATGTACAGACGCCCATGCCGAATTAACGGTGCAGCTGCCGACTGACTACCCCTCGCGCTCACCACCGGCGCTGCTTTTGGATGCACCTTTGTGCGAGCGGGGCCAAGCTGAAGCGATGTGCAGATCCTTTTTGGAAGACTTCAGCCCAGGTGAGGAGTATGGTGCCACTTTGGCGACCCGGTTTTTCGAGGCTTTTGAACGGCATCAAGACGGTGGACATGCTGTCAGTGGGGAAGCCGCCTTGGTGAATGCGCAAGGGCAAGATGAATCGGCTCCCGTGGCCGCAGTTGTCAAACTGGAAGGACATCTTGTGGCCTGCATGCATTCAACCTGCACCTGCAGGCTTAGAGTTCAGGGCAACGCAGAACACTGCGGACGAAGTTCTTCAGTATTGAACAAAGTGAATCTCTTTGTAAGCTTGATCCGGTGACTGTGAGCTTTGTATGGCGAGGCCACCGAGATCGCCGCTGCGCTGCTGGATGCTGGATTTCAAAAGCACAGCACGCAGATTTACGTGCATGGGGAGCTAGGCGTGGCTGCCGAGATCGGCGACGAGCTGCATCTGAGTGTGGATGGCGTGGATGCACTACGTGAGCTGTCGGAGTGGGTTGCGAGCCAGCTCGTGCTTGACTTGTCCGAGCTGTCCTGCTTTGGAAAGCGTGTGCTGGCGTGGGCGAATTCCAGCCGAGCTGCCAGCGAATCTGCTGATGGGTCAGCTGATGGCATCATTGAATCAGAGTCAGAGGTGCCTGAAGTCGGGGGAGCCAAGCTGACCGGAAATGCAGCCTGGCGGGCAAGGCTGCAGGCGGGAGAAACCGTCGAATTCCGCGGATCTGGAAACAGCCTGCATCCACGGATCAAGAGCGGGGAATGCTGCAGATATGTACCGGTTCGAAAACATGAAGACATCAAGGAGAAGGATATTGTTTTCTGCCAAATCAAGGGTCGGTACTGGGGTCATATGGTGAAGAAGAAGACCTTCGTGGGAGGGAAAGATGACTATGAATATACGATAAGCAACATCCACGGTTGGGAGAATGGTACCTGCACGCTCGAGCACATCTATGGCAAAGTTGTTGACCATTGGAAATGAGTGCCGTGCTTTATTGCCCCGGTTTTCCGGTCGAAGTGTGCAGGTTTCCTTCGGCAAGACCGTGGGCAGCACGACGGGCGCTCGGAGAACAACCGCGTGAGCCTGGAGTTGCACAGCCAAGTGTTCGGCAGTTGAAAGGCAGGCCCCTTCGAAAGGATTCGATGCGAGACTCTGAGCCCGCCAGATCGAATCAGACACGAGGGTTAGATAGTGTGATCTTCTGTATGGCTGCAAAGCAAGCCGCCTTGTCACCCCTGAGCCTCAGTCATGCTTTGTGCTGGACCGGCCAACTCAAAAGCGAGAGTTCGGTGGTGACAACTCCATGTCGACTCATGTCCCGCCATTTCGTATCCCTTGGTCGGAGATCCAAGGCTACTTCCGAGCTTTTCTTCCGACTCACGCCATGTCGCACCTCTACTACGAGGGCCACTGCCTCGACCTCTGGCACTCCTTTGCCACACTGCAGGCTCCCAAGGCACCCGTGCCTTGCACATACACACAGATGCTTCAATATTACTATAGATATGTTATATATATATATATATATAATTTTTTATCTAATATAATATAATATAATATAATATAATATAATATAATATAATATAATATAATATAATATAATATAATATAATATATATAACTTCTGCATCCTCTTGTGCAGATTGGAGTCATTGGTGCAGGCTGTCCGGCCTACAGAGGACACCAAGCAGATCCAGTCCCAACATGCCGAGCTGTTTGCCGCATTGGATGGGGCACCTCGGGCTGAACAGCAGGTCCTCGGGCTGAACAGCAGGTATGATGCCCAGTGATCTAGCGTATCTGGCAAAGGATGGCAATGGCCTCCTGTCGTTGGACGAGCTGCAGGCCCCCGTGGTCTGCAGATTCAAGGGCTTTGGAGGCCTGAAAAGGAAAAGGCCACTGCGTCAGACTCCTGAAGGTTGCCTGCGCCGATCACATTGCCGGGTGAGTAATATTGAGTACTAGTGGCAGTGGTGGCACGTCTACACTTGTCCTGTCACTGCTCCATGTACTCCTGCTGCTCCTGCTGCTGCTGCTGCTGTGCCGCCTCCGGCCCACACTTCTCTGATACTTTTGCGATGATGACCTTAGCCGCTATTGCCACTGCGGCCGTTTTCGCTACGGCTGCTCATGCTGCTGCTCTACTGGTGCTACTGCCACTGTACAGAGAACCCGCCCGAGCTGCAGGACTACCTAGCCGCGCAGAAAGTCCCAGCAGCCCCCGGGCGGCGCTTCGGGACACCTTGGCCAAGATGGTTTTACTCAGAGGAGCGCTTCCCAGCCGCGAGTGGGACATGTTGTATGATGTAGAGCTTGACAGGCCATGCGTAGTGTTGAACGCCCAGGATTATTTCTACGATTGGAGAACTTCGATGGATGGCCCCGGCAAGCACCTGGGCTGGTGCAAGATCTGGTCATGTCATGTCGGAAGAGCTTTCGAAGTGCCTGTCAAGGGTTCAGGATCAACCGTCGCTTGGGAGCATCAGCGACAAGAGACCCTGCATCTTAAGGCGTGAGGCACCAGTTCGGAAGGGTCTGGGGCTTCGGGATTTAATTCGGCAGCGGATGTTCGTTGGGCTGATGCGAGGCAGCAGCGGCTTGAAATGGAGGTGGAGCTGCAACGTTTCCGAGCAGAGGACCTGAGCAGAATGAGAAGTATGTGATCTGTTAGTTCTGCTGACTGCTACTAGCCAAGGCCCCTGCTGTGGCTTTGACAGTAATTCTGCACCTTGATCCACAGCCCTCGCATGGGCCATAAGCCGAAGCAGATGTGGCAAGCCCAAGTTCCATTTTAAAGGATAGTCTGGCGTACCTGGACTGCAGCCCGCCCTGGCCTCGATCGAAGCTCGAATTGTGCAGATGCCTCCTGGCGGCCCTTCTCTCTCTCTCCCTTTTTCTCTGTCTCTCTTTCTTGTCTTTCCAGTGGGTACACCAGGCCAGACGGAAAGGTCTCCGCACGGGAGCTTCTCCAAGCCATGCTCCAGTGGCACGTGGCGGGAGCCTCGTTTTCCTGGTGACCTACACTAGTGGCATTATCGGCGAGACCGGGGCCATAGAGGTCTGTTGTTCTTGGCACATTGGTTGTTTTATGAAAACAGAGTCGCAGCCTGAAAAAGGGCAAGTAAGTAGCAAGTGCATGCGTGATTCAGGGCTTGCTTCTGGCAGACACTCAGAGCCCAACGGCAAAACAAGCTCAGGGTCGAAGAGGGGGGGGGTTTCTGACAGATGCAGCAGTTTTGATGCAGCGATTGGGCGTCGCATTTAAGTGCCCTGAAGTACCCTGAAGTCGTGGCCCTAGCACTTAAAAACCCCCAAAACCCTGCTATACAATCCCCTAAACCCTAAACCCTAACACCCTAACACCCTAGCACCCTAAACACTGCCTTACATGCCCCGGTTTTGGAGGCCAGAGCTTGACTTCCGATGCCTGAGCCCTGGCTGCCCAGGTGCATGTGCGCTTTGCGGCCACGAGGAGCTGTAAGTTCACGGCTCTAAAAAACAGGGGGCCAAATGCTTACCAACGCTATATATATTGATGGTTCCTTAATTGTTGTAGTTTTAGCAATATACACCAAAACCCTATTCTACTGTCGTATTTATTAAGGCCTCCCATAATTACGCTAGGGCCTTGTCTGGTCGCCTGAAGCCTGAGCCCTGCACTTGCAGCTCTTCTTCAAACGGAGCAGACTTGCGGCTTCATTGCAAGTCCCACCTGGAAGCGGGACAAAAACGAGTCCTTTGTCCAAGCCAGCTTTCAAGCACACTGCAGTGGTTGTTTTCAAGGTTCCTCGAACAATTTTTTGCGCTCGAGCAAGCTGATCTGGTAGCACTGCGCTGTGCCTGCAGCAAAAACTCTGCATTGGCAAGTGTTGCCATCGAATCTGCAGGAGAAAAAAGAAAAGCAAGCACGAGACGGAGCTCGACTTTGCTGAGAGGCGGCAGCCTGGGGTGGCATATCTGCTTTGCAAGTTGATAATTAGAATAGGGTTTTGGGGCCCATTATACGATAACTATAAGAAGGAACCCACCCCAAATAGTATAGGTATTATTACGGCCCCTGGGCCTCTTGCTCTGATGCAGGTACTCTGCCAAGCGAGAACCTCGCAGCGAGCTTTGATGAGCCGGGAGATCTTGCCAACAGGGCCAAAAGGGCCGCCTACTGCGGGTCAAAACGGCATGCGTGCAGAAGTTGATGAAAGATGGCTCGACACCTCAGACAGAGGGTATTGTTTCCTGCAACTCGACTTCAGACGTCCCGCCTGGAACTGTCCGAGCGTGAGAGTCCAAACACTCAAGCCTATTGCCAAACCTGAGCTCAGAGACGCCTGACCCAGAGAGTCCAATACCCCTTTATTGAGGAATATACCTTAAATCACCATATTGAGGCCCCTATAATTTAAGGTATATTCCTTAATTAAGGGGTACTGGGGACCTTTCCTGGGCCTCCGACCGGAGCTTCTGAAATCTGTTGACCTGGCCGAGGCCTTGACTTCTTTTCTGCAGGCCTGGGGGGGGGGGCCGGGGTTCCTAAGGAAGAGGATGTGAAATTTGGGTTCGTGTTAAGGGACTTAACTTAAGTTACCATAATAAGGAAACCATATCACTCACTATAGATCCCTATTATGGTAACTTAAATTAAATCCCTTAACAAGAACCCAGTTTAGTTTGTTCCAAGGGGCTGAGCTCCGGCTCAGGGTTTGGCGGGGTTTGGGTGATTCACATGCTTCCACGTGAGATGGGCATGAGGGCATGTGCACGGCAGCCCCTACTTAAAGCGGGCTTGGAGCTTAGGACATATGATATATGATATGGGGCAGAAAGAGATCCTTGCATCGCTACCGCAGGTAGCTCCTTTGTGGGAGATGCTTGACAAGGTCCACAGGGCATGGCTGTGCTAGCATTGCCTTAAGACTTAAAAAATTCTTCGCAAGCGCGGGCCGGGAAATGCATCAGTTTGACGAGCGAGGCCGGTAAAGACCCACATGGCCTATGCTCGGGAGATTTGCGGGACCGCTCTGTGCCAGGTCTTATCTGCGGGTCGTCCACAAGTGAAATATCGAGGCTCGAGCAGGGCTTCGGGATGCTCAGGGCTTAAGGGCTCTTGTCTTGGAGCTGCCCGGTGGTCTAAGCTGAGTTGGGAGTGCAGATGCTGTCGTGGGCTAGGATTCTCATGTTTTGTTAACCTGCAGTTTCGCTTACCCGGGCTATGGCCATCTCCATCACCAGTACTCCAGTACCGGCTCATTGCAACTCTCTAATCCTTCGCCTCCCACCTGTGCAGGTGGATCTGGTTTGCAGCCGTTGCTGCCAATCAGAGATGTGCCGCATCCCAGCACGCTGCTATATCATAAAGAAAGTTAAATAAACATTGTCTTGTGCTGAGATCTTTCTAGTGACAGGGGGGGCATAGATAGAGCACACCACGCTCGTGGCGACTACACCGGGGACGCTCTTACAGCCTGGGCGGTTGCTACAGATGCCCGCAGCTGTTTCTTCCTCAGTCCCGATTTGGAGTAGTTTCTCGTTTATCGCCATGCTTGGGCGCCTTGCAGCGCTCGGTTGCATAGCAGTTTTCGCACATGCTGCGGTGCATGTGCCCACGCGGGAGATCGCCGCCGGCGTGCAGATGCCGATCATCTCCATAGGCGGGAGGAGGCCACTTCAAAGCCTGGTGCGTTTCGTGACCAAGCGCAGAGGTATCGGCGGGCTCGAGACTGCCAACGCATCGGCCATTGTGTCCAACTGGCTGAAGCTTGGTGGACGAGGCATTGACACCGCGGGAGGCTCAGTCGACAAGCAGTCCTCACACCTGCCTGGTACTAAAGAGGAAACGGCGTTCACTACGTGCTGGCAGCATTTGCCCAGGCCTTGGTCTACAAGGATCAGTACATCGTCCCACAGGACAGCGAGCGATTGGGCTTACAGCGCCCACTTAGACTTATGCGACAGGATGCGAGGCTCTTTTCGGTGTGGCACCAGGCCCTGGTAATTCTACTCTTCGCGATTGGACAGCAGCACTGC